TATCAAACTTGGTTCATTTCGTAAAGAATTCGGTACAATATGAGAACTTACAAATTGAAAATGGATAATTATTTTGATATATTTTTCATTTTTAGGGTATATCTAATACACTATATGGAACAGCAATCCTGGACCTGGCATTCCACGCCAGCACCAAACTTCCATATATGTCCTTTGTATTTACGGCACGATCTATTGGGTATTTAGTAGGAAGTATCGCCGGTGGCTGGACCTATGATAAATACGATAGATATTTAGTCCTTGGATGTTCCTGTCTTGGCTGTGCATTGGCCACGACTGTGTTTCCTTTGGTTGGAAGTCTTTATGCATTCATCTCGATTGCTTCTGCAATGACTATTTGTACAAGTTTTCTAAATACAGGTAATAAAGCTTTGTCACTTATGTCTTTATGGGAATGGGAAAAATTCATGGCATAGAGGTGCAAGCGTTTGCCTCTCACAAAGATTAAGATGACCTCTAGGGAATGACACGTGGTCTGAAATGGGAAAACATTATGCTTGAGCGCAGGAGGTCTATGTCTCTCTTTAGGTAGAAGATATAAATATTTTCTGGTTATATACTCAACAACGTACATAAATTACAAATTTCAAAAACCTAATACATAAAACTCATGGATTAATCTTATCTTTTATCCTGTTTTTAAGCTGGCAATGCCATCTGTTTTGTCTTATGGCCCGAAAATTTCCAGCCCTACTTGCAGTTCCTTCACTTCACCTTTGCCTTGGGCTCGTGTCTTGCTCCTCTGCTATCACAGCCATTCCTCCTGCCTGACGCTCTGACCAACCCCCCACTAAACCATACAGACAACAGAAACGCGACAGGAGGTTATGACCCTGGTGATATACTACCAATAACATGGGCCTACTGGATCAGCAGTGTTCCTCTCATCGCTTCTGGGCTGTTTTTCCTAGCCTGTGCTTTCTTGAAAGGACTTAAGGAAACAGTTGTCAAAAAGGAAGAACACCACTCMACAGTGAATCATCCAAACAGTCTATTATTCAARGCAATTGTTCTGTTCCTCTTTTTCATTCTGCTTCTTCAGTATGGCGGCATTGAGGTTGCATATGGTGGATACGTTTTTATGTACGCTGTGAAGACCAAACCTCACATGAGCAAACACATGGCTTCCCTTCTAACTGCCACATACTGGGGAACCTTTGCATTGGGAAGACTCATATCCGTGCAGTTAGCCAAATACATCAAACCACCAAAGATGATTTTAGCAGATTTCATAGGTTGCTTGTTGGCAGGAGTGATCTTGATTTCTCAAACYCAGTACGGATGTGATGCAAACTCTGGCCCAAAACTTTGGGCTGGAACAATCATCCTAGGAATCTCAGCTGCATCATTATTTCCATCAGCCTTGAGTTGGGCAGAGTACTTCGTTGAAATTTCAGGTCGAGTGGCATCGTTACTTCTCGTTGGAGCATGTTTAGGTGAGATGACCATTCCTATTGCCGTAGGGAACACTTTCGATACCATTGGACCTTGTTCTTTAATGTACTGTATATTTGCTTTGAGTTTTCTTGGCATATTGAACTTTGCTGCAATCCTGTTGTTTGGTCGGCATTACAGGTCACTTAGTGTTTTCTCAGGGGTGGAGTTTCATAAGAACGATGTCATTGAGAAGCCGCCGAAGCCAAAACAACAGGATGAGGATGAGGTTTTAAGACTTCTCGAAGAAAACAACGAGTTATTCAACGGTAATTATTAAAAGTACTAAGCATTAATTATTGATGGATTGAAGTCATTCCTAAGAAAGTAATATGAAAAAAGCACGATGGTCATGTTGGTGATATCAACATGGAAGCCAATTACAAATAAACATGATGACACCCGGGGGGGGGGGGGGTACTCCCCTATATTTGCTATACGGGTATGTGCCGCCCTATAGGGTATGGTTTTTCGGCTTTTGGCTGCCCCCCCCCCCCCAAGTTGGGGGGGTAGCCCCCCCCCCCCCCCCCTTCCCCCCGGGTGATGACAACTGATATGCAACATTAATAACGAATTAAGTACTAGAAAAAAGATTTTCAGCATATGCCGTTCTCATAATTCTTCGATTGCACGTTACGCCAGCCATGTTGGTGCCATTTAACAAAAGATTTCTTATTAGCATCGATTGTTAACAGCACCACAAAGGTCTCCATGTTTTTGTTTTTTGACTCTCTTGGGAATGCTTGCAACCTATCAATGGCTGAAAACCAGGTCACCCAGTCATTAGTTCACAATAAAAGACATAAAAGCACATGAAATGGGTTTATAAAGTATAAAAATTAACCTTTTGTTTTGACCTAAATGAGCAGCCTTGCTCAACCTTGCAGGAAGGTTGAATGTTTTCAAGGTTTTTGAATTGATTAGTGCCATATTTAATTACAAAAATTGAAGAAAAAAAGTTATTATAATATTTCTACACAATTAGAAGGAAGGCTGGGTAACCTTGTTTCCATACGCTCGTCAGCCATTTATGAGAAAGATGTATAGATACATAGCTTTATGTTGCTCATACATGGTGGGTTATTCCAGCATATAATGCACCAAAGTTATAGCTTTCTAAAAGGAAAAAACACYTTTGTACAAATTGTAGGATATAAAAAGCACGTTTTTGTTACAATTTATCGAATCGTTATAAGGAATATTGTATTCGAAAATTTCAAGGCAATGCCAAAAGGATGCATTTGAAGATTGAGCTTTAACCTTACATAAAAAAATTAGATCCTATCCTTCAGGAYTCTATATCTAGGGTGATCTTAGCATAGAAAAAACATCAGTCTTCTAGATGTTTTTTCTTCTGACATTATCAACAACCAAATCTGAGAATTTTTAGGTACAGCACAAGATGAATCAAAACTCTTCCTTTTTTTATTGCTACACGTTTAGTAATTTTTTTAATGGTTTATAATGTATAYATATATCTTCATTTGGGACACCCCTAACGAATTCCTGGACCATGCAGCACCGGTAAAGGGAGGCTCCTCTATAGAAAATAGACTGTATTCTGGTGTTTGCTGTTAAGGTAATGTAGAATCCATCTAAGGAGGTGAA